TCACATGGCAAGGCCATCCAAAAGCCAGGGACCCAAAATTGTACTAACATGGCAAAAGATGTTCCACAAGCTCTAGCCGACCGTCATGTTGGAATCAGAAGGGATCTTGGGATCAGAAACCTGAAATCAGAGGGGCTTTCATCAACAGTCTGTCCAAGTCCACCCCAAAAACAGATATTGCAATCACGTTGCTTCTACAGAAAATGTTAATTTTACCAAATTGGTAATTTCTGAACTCTTCATTAGCTCTGGTTATGCTAGTTATGAATAAAGTAGAAGAAAAAATGGTGGTGGCTCCCCACCCCTTCACATTTCCCCACAGAAAAAGTATTTATTATGCTGCTTGTCTGGATATGGGTTAAATTAGCCAGTAATGAACTGATCCTCTAGCTAAATTTAGAATCATTGAATCGTTTAGGTTGGAAAAGGCTTTAAAGATCATCAAGTTGCACCATTTACTTTCTATTAAGCAGTTCATTTAAAAATCAGGAGATCCTTTAGACAGCTGAAGTGGCCTTTATCAGCAGGCACCAATTCAGCATTTTTCCTGTAAAGAAAGAGCTCATTATCCACACACTCCTCTGGGATCTCTAAGCAGAACACAGCAGTTCCAGAATCTGCTCCCAAGCTAAAGTTTTAGCTAAAGAGGTTCACTTTGCATTTATTAAACAAGATTTTACTTTCTCGTAGGAAGAAGAGTTTCTGACACTGGCTTTGGCAAGAACGTGTAACTAACAGAGACTACGCAGGTACATGCTATTTCAGGTAGCTCTGCAAGTCTCCTTTCACAAGTTATTGGGCTGCTGAGTCAGCCTGTCATCATGCAGTGACTTTCATAACAGAACTGCAACTTTGTGATGCAATTATTAATACAGTACCACTACTACCTACTGCTTGGCCAATATTCCTTTATGATCACAGCTTTTGGCAAAAGGCGACAAAGGTGGTGTTAACTGCTGTACAGCACTGAAGTCTTACAGCAAATTCATTACAAAGGGTGAAGTATCATTTACCTTTCTCTACACCCAAATTTTCTACTTATGGGTTTTCAGGTATTTAAAGTGGAGTTAATAGCATTACTTTTAAACAATATTATACTCTGCTTTTTTTGACTATGCTCCTACACTGTGAACTAAACACTTGGCTGCCTGTCATGGGCACATGGAATGAGTTCAAGATGAGGTCGAGTGACAAACGCATCCGAGCACGCCCCAAGCTTTGTGGTGAAAGCATCAACTAATACAACCAGACATGATTCTTACTTCTCATGACCTGTAAAGACAGACTGAATTGCCACACAAAAAAATGTTACAATATCCTGAACAGAAAACTCCAAGCCAGTGGTTATGAAACCTCCTGGATTCCAAGAAGGCAAGACTGAACATGCCAAGATATGAAGGCACCTCAAAAAGACTAAAGTAAGATCAGATTTATGATCAAATCAGCTAAAGGAAGAGGGTTTCTCAATTCTGATGGTCAAAAATACTTTGGGGAAGGAGTAAATATTACTGCTGTGTATAGCTCAGACGTTGGGCTACCTCTGGAGCACAGAAAAATAAAGCGTAACACTAAGTAATGTTATACTGGACACATCCAACAAACCTGGCCACATTCACATGGATCTTAGATGACACATCTCTGTTAGCAAAATTGTGACAGGTGATGAGGCTTCCTATTTTTGAGGCTCTGAAATTACTATCTTACCTTCCTGTTGCCTTCAGAGGCGCGGCGACCAACCCCAGGCCGCTCGGGCCATCAGCTCACAGACACCAATGTGGTGGACGGCAAATGGCGTTTATTGGTATGTAACACGGCATTATATAGCCTGGGTTTACAACGTCACTTCCGTCTGCTTACATCATAAACTAAGCTAACCGCTACTGGCTATCAGAGGAGGGGCTCTATCTTTCCGTACAGCGTGATATCTTCCGGCCGCCAGACCTTAACTACCTACACCTTCCACTCAAAAGAACTGTCACAAAACCTTTCCAGAAAAAAAACAACGCCAACAAACCCCCCAAAGCCCCAACCACTTTCTCTGCCTGTAGGTATATGCAATCTACATCAAACAGCTCAAATGTATTTGCCATAACTCGCTTCTCACCACTGTCAAGAAGTATATAAATAACCAGCTTGCACCTTTTAACTACAACTTCTTCCAGGTAGACACCTGCAGCTTGACTAGGCCCACTGAAGTCCGCTCAACTTTATACAGAATAACTACAAAACAGAAAGCTCGCAAAATATAAAATTATGTGATGAACTCCTACCAAAAAGATCATTCATTTTAAGCCCAAATCAAACAGAAAACTCATCCCCTTCAACTCTAGCAGCAAAAGACAGTACTGAAAGAGATCAAAAAGCGTTTCATGTGCTGCAAATAAGTCTATCTTGAAACAAACACCAATTTAGCTAACTCAGCACACACCTGTTTTCATGACAGCATAAATTACTTTAATCTGTTCTTAATTGCTTTAAGACAAGCTGAAATAAGTCTGGACACAGTCTTCTGCACAGGTTTCCCTTAGGATTAGTCTACATAAACTGCTCAATTTCAACCATAAGATCAGACCATAGAAGACCCTCTAACATGGATGTTATTATAGAAAATAAAGACAATTGTGCCAGTATAAGCAATTGTTGTGCAGGCTGCTTTGCAAAAGAGCATTTTTTTTAGTGACATAAGTACATAGAGGCTGTAAACAGTATCAGTCTATTTTAGTTAAAGGTGACTGTTTCCCTAAATAAAATTGTTCCACTGTAATAAAGGCACGTGTAAATCCAGTCTGAAGAATAACTAACAACTCTTACAAGCAGCTTTGCCTACAGACAAACCCACAGTTTTTGAGCCAAACAATTCACTGTTTTGATGCTTACATCACTGAAAATGCTTCTATGAACTGAGGGCAGAAGTATTTATAACGCTTAAATCCAGGTGACTGTCAGCATTGCAGTTGCACAGTCCAGGCACTGGGGTAAATGAGGACACACCTCAACAGGGGGAGCTGAGCCTTTCTGTTGATTCCCCAGACACAACCTCCTTCCGATTAACAGTTCGTGATTTCTGCTAATGCCAGCAGGGAGGATTGTGACTTTGTGGTGAGGATAAAGCAGGCACAGGGAGCACAGGTGAATTTTCTGCCTTAAAGCTGTAACTTACTGCTACAACAAGACGTGGGTTTGCAGCAAATTGCAGCAACCCTGGCAAAGTAATTCAAAACACTCTCCCTGCAGAGGTGTGTTCTCAGTCTCTCAGGTTTATACCCAAGATTGCCAGCATTATTATTACCCCTTTCCTGAAAAGCCTAAGGTCATTGAGAAGGCAGTACAGAGAGAGCGAGACCAGGATCAGAGACGGGGAAAGTCACAACACAAAAAGGTGCCTATGAGCAGAGGCAGGCTGAGGTCTCACCTACTACACCCGTTTAGGGGAAAACCCCTCAGAAACTCCTGCTCCCTTTCAAAGCACAGTGGGGCCAGAAAGGAGGGAGAAAAGGGAAGGTAGACTCAAGCCTAAAAACATGCTTAAGAATAATAATGCCCCAGCCTACAATCCCAGAACACGCGCAGGAGGGCAGTGTGACCAACCGGCACCCTGAGAAGAGGATGTTTCCCGCTCCGGGGGTGGTGGTGGTGGTCACAAGTAGCAGCCCCACCAGAGGGCACCGGGCACAGTCCAGGCCCCGAGGCCTCCCACACAGTACAGGGGAGAGGGGTGACGTGTCAAAGATGCAGGGGTGCAGCACTAACTCAAGGGGTAACAGCCCCAGCCCCCTGCCAAACACAGACAGAGTGCAGGAGAGGCCCCAAAGCCCCCCCCCCCAATAACACGGGGCAGGTGGAGGCATCCCCAGCCCCATAGATGTCCCTCCCTCAGCGCACACAAAGGCGGCCCCAGACGCACCTCCCCAAACGGGAGAAGGGCAGCCCCCCCGCCCCCACAGGCCCCCCCAAAGCCCATAGAGAACAATGGGGTCCCTTGTGACACCACAGACATCCTCCTCAACGCCCGCAGGGGGCAGGGAAGGCCTCCCCCCAACCCCGAGTGCCCCCCTTCCCCCGAGCACTCAGCGTACCACGGGGGCCCACAGGCCCGTAAGTCGCCCGCAAAGCACAGAGAGGGCCGGGAAGGCCCCTGAAGCCCCCCCAAGGCTCACAGAGGGCCAGAAAGAGCCCCCGCAGCCCCCCCCCCCAAACCCCACGGAGGGTCGGGAAGGCCCCACAGGCCATCCTAGGCCCCACGAAGGGCCCGCGGCCCCCCCCCCCCTCCTTTAGGCCTCACTCCCCGCGTCCCCGCCGAGGCCGCTCCCTCACGCGGGCGGAGGGCGGGGTCCCGCCGCTAAACCCCGCCCCGCCCCCGCCGCTACCCTGATTGGCCCCGCTCTCCGAGGCGGCTGGCCAATGGGAACCGGGAGGGGCGGGGGGAGGTCGGGGGCATGGCGGGGCGTGGCGGGGCGTCCCGGGGCGCGTGGGTGCGGTGGGGCGCGTCTGCCGGTGCTCATGGCCCGGTGGTCACGGAGCGGTGCGCGTCCTCCCCTCCTCCCCCGTGTCTCCGGGCTCCCCCCGCCCTCACATCGTGCTTCCCCGGGTCACCCGGCTCCGCTCGTAGCAGCGCTGTCCCGTCCCGGTCGCTCCCGGTGGGAGAAAAAGGATAAACCCAAATATTCGAGCTGCACCCGCCCCCGCCGTGTCTCGGGATCCCTCCCCTCCTCCGGCAGTCCGTCCGTCCCCGGGGTCGCGCTCCAGCCCGCGGCGGGACGGGCCCCCCGGGAGAACAGGGTCCCCCGGTGCTGGTAGCCAAACCCACCGGGCGGAGCGGGATCCCCCGGGAGAGGGGCGGGGGAAAAGATCGGCCCCGGGGGGCTCCCCCCCGCCGCTCTCCTGCCTCCCGGGGCTCCGGTTCGTTTCGATTTCGTTTCCCGGAAGGATCGCGCCGAAGCCGCAGCGGCCGCAGGGACGGGACCCGCCCGCACCGGGCACCGGGGCAGCGCCGAGCTCCGGCTTCTACCGGGGTGGGGGCAGCGCCGAGCACCGCTGCGGGGAGCGGCCACCCACCGCCACCGGGGATGCAGGTAAGAGCTGCCCGCCCCCAGCCCGGTCCCGTCCGTGTCC